GAAAGAAATGGAGAACCTGGCTAATTTTCCAAATGGTTATTTTGCTATTCTACCCAACAGTTCATGTTTACAGACACCAAGAAAAATATCAGTAAAAAGTTAGACTTATCAAAGCACTAAAGCTGAAGCTTGTCAAGATGGAAACTGTACATTTCCCTGTTCCCCTCTGATAATTGTAAGCTTTAAGATAGTTGCATGAAAGTACTATAAAATTAAAGCTTACTGATCTTTGTCCAGCACACAGAAAGAATCCAGGAAGGGAAAATTGGCAGCTATACTTTCAAAGTCTTCTTGTGAGATGTACCCGTCGTGGTCGTGGTCATAGTTTCTAAACACAGACTGCAAAGGAAAGACAAGTGTTTACTGAATGACAATTTGTGCATCCGACTCTGAACTTTCATCGTGAAAGCAATGATTGCACATTATCCTTTCTATCAAGGAGCTTAGAATCTAGACGAAGATGACTCAATCAAGAAGATTTTATAGGATAAAAAGAGAAGTGGTTTTGCAGGGGATAAAAACAGAGTGATATGATGGTGGAGGTGTAGATTAAGAAAGATTTTCTGAAGAAAGCAAAGTGTACACTGAGACCCCAGAGTTAAATAGGAGTTAGGCTTGGTGAATTACAACACCATGACAATAGAAAATAAAGCTTTAACAATATGGAGATTCCTCAGAAAACTTGGAATGGAACCACCATTTGACCTAGTTATCCCATTCCTCAGCATATATACAAAGGACTTAAAATCAGCATACTATAGTGATACAGCCACATCAATTTTCATAGCAGCTTGATTCACAATAGCTAAGTTATGGAACCAACCCAGGTGCACTTCAGTAGATGAATGGATAAAGAAAATGTGGCACATATACACAGTGGAATATTACTCCACCATAAAGAAGAATGAAATTATGGAATTTGCCAGTGAATGGATGGAACTGGAGGCTATCATGTTGAATGAAAGAAACCAATCCCAAGAAACCAGAGGCCAGACGTTCTTTCTGATATGCTGTCTGTGTACTGAGACCTCTGAAACTGTGAGCCCCTGAATAAATTTTCCCATTCTACTTGTTCTCATCAGGTCTTTTGATCACAGCAGTGGGAAAAGCTGCCTAAAACAGCATGTATGCAAATATACACATTTAACCTGGATTTCAGTCATACTTAATCTTTTTTCTTTTTTTCTGATTGTTTCTATCTATTCTGCTTATGTATACCATCCTATTTTGCAACCCGCTTCATGAGTATTTGGGGAAGTAGGGAAGTCATATATTAATGATTTAATTTAAAATATGACTAGAATAGGCATATAGCACCCCTTGCAAATTTATCCATAGATAAGTGAATTGTGCAAAATCACATAACACTTTTTGCAAGTGCATATATCAATACTTAATCCATAATCAAAACTGATAATATTTTGGAGTACCTGCCAGTTATAATCTAACACTGTATTTATTTGTAATGAAAATACAAGATTTTTTGTGGAATAAAATTTAGTATGAAAATTCACAATGAAATCCAGTCTTTCATTTGATTAAATCGATGGTAGGCAATTTTGCTCAAACTGGGCCAAACTTCCCCATGAAACTAGACTTGGAAGATGGGAATAGAAAAAGATGGTAAGAAGGAGAGGGCAAGGAGAGAGAAAAAAGCTGAGACTTCCCATCAGAACAGAGGAAGCAGCCTACAGAATGAAGTGGGAATGGCTCTGCCTCCCATTTCCTGGTTTCACTTTCCTGAGCGTATCTATGTGCTTCCTGAGGCTCCTGGATCCTTTCCTTAACCTCCCCAGCTGCAAGTTGGGTCTGTCCCCACCACCACATCTCAAGGCTCCCCTGGACCTTAGTACCATCTTCTAGCACTTTCCCTCAGAAAAAAAAAAATCCTTTCTGTACACCCTCTCTAATCTTTTTCTTCCTGCCTCACATACTCCATAAAATTTTTCTTTCAGTGCCTCACAGTTCCCTGAGTTATCCAAACAGTAGAACATTCTTTCATTTTTTTCTTTAAACATCCTTTTCCAGCAAAAAGCACATTGTATGCCACAGACTCAACCCTATGGTAAAAGAGGATATTCCCAGCCACTGAAGTAGGGCTTTAGTCAGGGATCACCATCTCCTGTGCCTGAAGGGTTACCATTTCCTCCACATTGGCATTTCTACTCTTCTTTCTGTATGGAAAACTCTGACAGAGCTTGGTCCTGCCTCAGGTAATCTTTCTGACCTCAGTGGCACTGTGCTGCTGTGTCACAGAACCCCCAAACCATACAGAAGGTGAAACAATCCAACTTATAGGGTATTTTCCTCCCTTGAGTCACCAACTGATCTGGCATTGTGACCCATGTGGCTTTTTCATGGGTGATTCTAATCCCCCCAAAGACCCTCAAATTGGTGGCAATGACAGAAGTAGCAAATGCCTAAGAAAGACAGGAGTTGGAAGTGACTGGGAGTTGCTTGGTCAGAATACATTGTCAGGAGGGGAAAGAGGACCTTTCTGGTTGATTCTTTCCAGAGACCAGTGCCAGGCAGAGCTAAGTGTCTGCTAAATTGTTTCTACCTGAAGCGCTGTTTTCATGCACTGCTATCTGATCACAATGCAATCATAGAATATTCCAGAAAGAAAAGGAGGGGGCTTCTGGTGCATTCTGAATTTGCCCTCGACCACTTACCTCAACTAATTTCCTTATGTGCTTGTTGATCACTGTGGGGTCTGGCTTTGGCATCACCCCAGATGCCCACTCCAGGGGCACCACGGGCTTGGTGGGTGTTGTGGGGGAGGCAGGCTGCTGAAAGGGAAGCATGCACATTATTCAATGTTAACTGGACCTTGAGCAGCTAGGACAAGGGACAATAAGAAAGGCAGTGTTATATAATAATAATACCAGCCAAAACTTAATGTTCACCTTGCATGTTTATAAAATCTTTGCTAATAAATCTAATATGTGCCTAAATACATGTTTAGAGAGTGCATTGGGCTTACTAGCAGCCCAAGTTCTAATATTTTCAAATGGAGAAAAATAATGCACTTCCAGTTCATCCCCCTTGAGTTCTCTAAGTATCACTAAATCATCCTTAAACACTAATAATCCATCATGGATTTTCATACAAGATATACAAAAACCAGGTATCTAGTTCTTTAATACTTGGTATTAATGATAAATTTGCATTAACAGGTGCATATAATAAATGGGCACCAGCATATGGTCAAGTTCCTGTCCTTCAGTCAATGCACTCAATCACTTCTGACTATTCTGTGAACCATTAGGTCTCTCTGCCCATGCCTGGTGCACTTGCATTCTCCATAGGGCTTTCGTATCAGGTATGTCCATCTCGCAGCACATTTTCACTTAACAGTATAATGCATAACCCAAGCTTAGCACACCATTCTATCAGGAGACCACATAAGATCACTTAACACCACTGTGCAGTTTGTATCCTCACCCTGTGACCTTCATACAGGGTCAATGCATTTACTGGCACACACATGCAAAACTGTATTAGCAGTTTCGTTATTTGATAACAAACTGGGGATAAACACTTTTGCAAGAATTGAGGAGTTACTATACGTATTTAAGACCCTAACAATGTTATGAGGTCAGTGTTATTGGTGAGCTGCCCACAAGACCAAAAATTATCTACATACATTCACCCATACACATGCTTACACATGCCTGCACATACACACACACACACATACACACAGGTACACTCCCCTACACACACACCATGGCTCTTTTTTTTAATCAATATTTTCATCTTACTGATCTGGTAAAAGTCAATATTTTCAATATTTTTATCAATATTTATTGATTTGGTAAAGAATATACCTGAGTTCCCCCAACTGTACAGCAAAGTGTCCGAGAACACTGTGACAAATTCAGAGGGCATCAAAAGATATTTGAAACTTCGAAGTGAAATGTAACTATTCTCAATATTTTGTATTCTCAAACACCGTAAAAACTACCACCTTGAAGTAATACATGGTTACCCATGAGATCGCATTAAATATCTTCTGATGACATGTATCTTTGTGAAGAAAAAAATCAGTGTGGAACAAGAAATAAGCGTGGTAGAATCTAGTCCGAGTTCAAGATTCAATAAAATGTGTGCAGTGTCCAATAGGCACAGACATCCATTAGTTAAGTAACTGTGGTTGTTTAAGAATGAAATAAAAATGCTCGTTGTCTTTCAATGTAAGTGTATTTTTTTTTTCCAAGTTGGTGTTGAGTTGTTAGAAGATAAATATTGAGTTGTTTGGAACTAACAATTCTATGAGTAGAAATGTTGAGTAATTCTTTTGATCTAGGATGCCTTGAAACTATTGCTGAGACACTAAGTAAAATGCAAATGACCAGAGAGACACAGGAACAGAAAAAAGATGGAAAACTTCTAAGACGGACTGTTTAGGTTAGGTCCGCCAGCACCAACTGTGAGCACATGAGAGTTAACAGAATTCTAGTAACAGAAACCTCCCATCTGGAGATTATTCCCTAGTTATCACCACATGTCAAATAGGATGACGCTCTACTTAGAGAACAGACAGAATAGAGCTTGGGAAACATGTTTTCACAGACCCACAAGATTTTAGCAATTGGAAGAAGCTTTGAAAGCTTTTATTCCCTACAACAAATGAAACGATTTTCCTGTGTTTGAGGGAAATATCTCCTAAAATTGACCAGATTTTGTCCTGAAAATAAACTACAGTAAATCTAAAGGGACAAAAGGAGACAAATGTGCCAAAATGGCCCTTCCTACCCTGTTCCTGACAGGAGAGTTGGTAGAAAAAGCACAGGCATTGAAGACAGCCAGGCCTGGGACCTAATCCCTCTTCTCCAACTCACTAGCTGTGTGGCCTGAGTGAGACACCTACATTCATCAGGCCTGGTTTCCTTCACGGAATTCATGAGATAACAAGTGCGTGATGCCCTCCAGGAGTCCGGCACCTGATAAGAGCAATGGTGTCTGGTTAAGGTAAAGGAAGTGCTGGGAGCCATTAGCCAAGTAGGTATGACAATTTCCTTGCCAGCGTACCCCATGTTGCTGACATGTTGCAGTGACATTGAATGTAGGTGACCTTGCTCAAGGACCAAGGCAGATTAGGGTGTTCCCGGTTTTAAGATAATCGTGTTTAGGGCGTTCCCAGTTTAGGTTCCAGGTTTAAGGTTTAAGATTATTCCTGCTGGGAATAGGGCGTATCCTGCTGCCTGAGTTCCCCTTGAGTTCTCACGGGATTCAGACAGTATATTTTGGAGATAGAAGCCCAGTGGAGGTGGATTTGGGCAGAGAACGTGGATTTCCCCAGAACGTGATTGTAGACGGCTGGTGTGAGTTCGGGAATAAAGAGTTGCTGTTTGAATCTACAAGCTGTGTGGTGGCTCGTGATTGTGTGCCCAGCCAGACTGCGGCATTTGTGCCCAGCCAGACTGTGGCATTTGGTGGCCCATACGGGGAACTTCTGAAGCTTGGAGGTAAGTGAAATTGCTTGCCCCTGAAGAAGAGCGAAAGAATGGGTGACCAACTCAAAAAACAATGTGTTATTGTTTTGATTTATTTTGTTTTTATTTCAAGTTGCCTATTCCTAGAACTTTCTCAGGCAAACTGGGGAAAATGGTTGATTCAAGGTTTGAAGTTGTTCGCCTCCGAGCAAGATAAATTGTTAGAGGAAGGGGGCACCCCAGTGAGACCAAGAACAATTAGGGCATATGTTGATACAATACAAAAATGTAGCCCATGGCTTTTTAAAGACGAGTTATTAAGTATACCAATGGGACCATCATGGTATCCTGTAGAAGGATTTTTCTTCAACAAGAAAGAGATGGCTAGTTCTGTTTACTACATTTGTCTAAGATCTTGGTTTTTACAGACATCTGATTAATTTACAAAGCTAAAGTGTTAAAATATCAACCACTAAATATGAAATCAAGTACTCTTTACTTAATAAGTTCCATAAGGTAATATATTTAAACATTATGTGTGCTTTCATAAATTGGTAAATGGAAAAATATTTATTGCTTTGTGTCTGTGTCTTTGCTAAAACAAGGTTACTAAGTGTTAAGATTCTATCATGTGTAATTTATATACAAAGAGTAGAAAAATTTTCAGTTGGGTTTCAATTATAGTATTATAGTATCATAAAAAACATGAAAGTCTTTCATCTTATTAAAGTGGAGTAATTTGTCTAAATCAGAAATTTTATAAGAGTTGTTTCAAAATGTGAATTTATAAAAAGGGTTAACGGTTAAAAAAGAGAGAGAAAAAGATTCAAGATGTGGAAATATATTTTAATATAAAAGGTTAAAGGAAAAAAATGTTTCTAGATGAGATAATCTCTGTGTGGTAAAGTAAAAAGTTGTAAAATGCCATTTAAAAAGATTTTGAGGAAACTAGACTTAATTTAAAAGCTTGAGAAAGGAAGAAAGAAGAAAAAGATATTTGTACATGGCAGATTGAGACAAAGCTTCTCAATGGAGTTAAAAAAAAAGCCTTTGGTTGAAAGGCAGCCATGTAAACTAACATTGAAGCGATTTAAACAAAATCTAAGCCTCGTTTAAAAGAGTGAAGCTGTAGGTGGTGAAAAAGTACATTTAAAAGTACAGTATAGATGATAATTAAAAGGCTTTAAAAGGTTAAATTGAAGGTGGTTAAAATGCCTTCATGATGGAGGAAAGAAGCTTAATCTTAAAGGCATTACTTTAAAAAAATGGGAAGATAATAAGAAAAGATATTTAGATAAAGAAGATTAAAAATTTAAAGTGAAAAACTTTAAAGACAGAAGTATAGAAAGTTAAAAACAAAAAAAGATAGAAAAGATGTAGAAAGATAAAAAAATGTAGGAAGACAAAAATTTTAAACCCACAAAATAGGAAGAAAAAAAAAAAACTAGGAGGAAAATAAGCAACTAAGGGTAAATATACAAACCTTAGGGAAAAAAAAAACTAGAAGATAGAAATAAGATAAAAAATGGATGAAAATGTCAAGTAAGGTATTTCAGATAGAGAAATGCAAAAAGCTAAGACAACTATTAGATACAGACATACTTATTAAAGCAAAAAGAGGGAATTGGAAAGGGGTATATATCCCCCAAAGATAAACTTAAAATAATGCTTTTTACTCTAAACTTTTAAAATTTGGATTCATAAGGACTTAGTGCTGCGGAAAGACACATGTATCCAAAAAATGTACATAAGCCTAAGGTACTTTGGAAAGATATTCTAACAGGACAATGGAAAGGTCCTGACCCAGTGATTGTCTGGAGTCGGGGTTTTGTTTGTGTGTTTCCACAGGGAGAACAGCAGCCGATTTGGATTCCAGAGAGATTAACTAAAACAATTTCTACAGATCGAAAAGAAGATAATTTGACGCAAATCCATAACAGCTGATATCCAGAGCTCCAGCTTGGCCATTCTTACATCTGCGACAGTGATTAACCAGTGATATAATTTTTATTTCCTTGCCAGCGCACCCCATGTTAATTGTGGTAGTGCTGACATATCTTTGCTGATGGTGTCACCAGTGATGCAATTTTTCCCAAGGAGCCGTCAATTGGCTTGGTGTCGTGGCATTTCTGTATCCTCCTCCCTTCTGCTAGTGATGGTCTAAAATTTGGGGGCCAATGGCTTATGCTGGACCGGTAGTCAGTGACGGGTATGATCCAATTGCAGTGGTATCAACCTAAGACAGGAGGCTGACGCCTAAAGGTCAGTTTTCCGATGACGGGTAAGAACCATATGTTGAATTGGACAACCTACCAGGCACGGTCCATAAGCCACATTAACCTCACTCCCCCACTGGCACCAAGGCCAAATTTGGGGGCCAACAGAGGTGAGGCAAAGAACCTCACCCCCCCACTGGTGCATAGACCTATCCACAAGTATGGCTGTATGCTGGACTGGTAGTCAGTGACGGGTATGATTCAATTGCAGTGGTATCAACCTAAGACAGGAGGCTGACGCCTAAAGGTCAGTTTTCCGATGACGGGTAAGAACCATATGTTGAATTGGACAACCTACCAGGCACGGTCCTTAAGCCACATTGCTTGTTGTTTAATTAATCAGAAGGGGGGAGATGCTGGGAGCCATTAGCCAAGTAGGTATGACAATTTCCTTGCCAGCGTACCCCATGTTGCAGTGACATTGAATGTACGTGACCTTGCTCAAGGACCAAGGCAGATTAGGGTGTTCCTGGTTTTAAGATAATCCTGTTTAGGGCGTTCCCAGTTTAGGTTCCAGGTTTAAGGTTTAAGATTATTCCTGCTGGGAATAGGGTGTATCCTGCTGCCTGAGTTCCCCTTGAGTTCTCACGGGATTCAGACAGTATATTTTGGAGATAGAAGCCCAGTGGAGGGGGATTTGGGAAGAGAACGTGGATTTCCCCAGAACGTGATTGTAGACGGCTGGTGTGAGTTCGGGAATAAAGAGTTGCTGTTTGAATCTACAAGCTGTGTGGTGGCTCGTGATTGTGTGCCCAGCCAGACTGCGGCATTTGTGCCCAGCCAGACTGTGGCAAGGAAGGGGTCAGGAGGTGGAAAACCTGTGTTTGCAGGTATGAGTGGCTCAACACACCACAGCCAGAATGAGAGAGGAGAATGAGAGAGGAGCAGAATGAGAGAGGAGCTTCATAATTTCTCTTTGTGGATAGCTTTTCCTTTCTGTGTAGCTCTTTCAGAGTCAACCTCCCCACTCCTCCCTTTGCCTGAGCTGTATCTTCCCAGGCGCTGGCCTCCAGGAACTGGCAGAGGAAGAATGTGCTAAAGGAACCACCCCTCACACTGTGTTTAGAGCAGGTGCTACTAGTTCAACTGACAGGCTCAAGTGCCTGCCCTGCTGGGGCTGGAGAAGAGCTATCACAGTCATTCTGTCCCTTTCAGTCCGTGGTTCAGAATCACAGAGGGTATTAATAGACTTAAGGGCTATGCTGCTCACATGCTGCAGAACTCAACTGTAAAGAGGCACTGTGTGAGACCTTCATAAGAAAACAGATTTTGATACCTTAGAAAACTTGGCATGGAACCACCATTTGAGCCAGCTGTCCCAAAGACTTAAAATCAGCATTCTATAGGGACGCAGCCCCATTAATGTTCATAGCAGCTCAATTCACAATAGCTAAACTGTGGAATCAACCTAGATGCCCTTCAATAGATGAATGGATAAAGAAACTGTGATATATATATATAAAATAAAATATTACTCAGCATTAAAAGAGAATAAAATTATGGCATTTTCAGGTAAATGGATAGAGTTGGAGAATATCATGCTAAGTTAAATAAGCCAATCCCCCCAAAAACAAAGGCCAAATGTTCTAATGTTCTCTCTGATAAGTGGATGCTGATCCATAAAGGGGGAATGGGGAGAGAATGAAAGAACTTTGGGCAAAGGGGAGGGAGCGTGGGGACAGGAAAGATGGTGGAATGATGGACATCATGAGATGTACCATAGGTACATGTATGACTGCACATGGTATGATTCTACATCAGAAAAATGAAAAGTTGTGCTCCATTTGTGTACAATGAGTCAAAATGCATTCTGCTGTTATGTATAAATAATTAGACCAAAAAACAGATCTTGATATATGAGCATAAGAAGCAAACACCAACATTTTTTCTTTCAACAAGTAATCCTCATATCCCCATTGTTTAAAATTCATTCTGGCTTTTTTTTTTTTTTCTTTCTTGCACCTGGGTATTGAACTTATGCCACACAAGCGCTCTGCCACTGAGTCACACCCCCAGCCCATTCAGACAATTTTTTTGTTAGTACAAAACATCTAAAATATAGCAATATACATTCAGTAAAGCAATTTCCTCAATCTCCTTATAAATCTACTCAGTGTCTAACTTGAAATTCTAAGTTGAGTCAATCATAGTAGAGAAATTTGTGAATTAGGATCAGGATATTTAAAATTTATTAAATCTAATTTTATGTTGAATGGAGTTTTGGGTAAGTCTGGAAAGGTATGAGTGTGAACATTAAGATGGGTTCTTTTTCTTTTTCATCCTACTTGTAGGTGATTTCTCAGAGTGGAAATGAGAAGTAGAAGATAATAATAAATCAGAGTGGTGGGATAATGTTCTTTACTTTTATTAGTCTCTGATACAAAGTAATTCTCAAACTGTCAAGTGTAAGTCATCCTATTGGCAAAGGGGGAATAATAAAGAATTTCTAGGTTCTTTAGTCTTTAAAACACAAAACACTATTGTAACAGTCCATTACTGTAAATGACAAACAGTGGTATTTAGCAAATATCTTTAGAGGAGACAACACCTACCGATTTTGAGTTTCTAGGCTCCAGCACCAGCGACAGTTTGTAAATATCATCTTCTGTGTGATAGAGGTCCAAAGAGAGCTACGAGAAAATTCCAAGGGAAAAATTAGTTACGTTGGGTCAGATTTCTTTATTTACACTGCTGAAATATTTTTCAAATTGAATGTCTAAATCCAATGTCCAATAATCTGAATTAATGTAGAACAATAAAAAGATGGCATGCAGAAGTTGGAAATAAAATTTTATAGTAAAGAAGTTGGTCCTGGTGTGGTTATTAGCACCAACCAAAACTATTGACCAGCTGAGTGCAGTGTGCACACTTGTAATCCCAACAGCCCAGGAGGCTGATTGCAAGTTCAAAGCCAGCCTCAGCAAAAAGCAAGGCATTAAACAACTCAGTGAGACCCCTGTCTCTAAATAAAATACAAAATAGGGGTGAGGATGTGGCTCAGTGGTGGAGTGCCCCCAAGTTCAATCCCTGGTACAAAAAAAAAATGACCAAATTCCACTGCAATTTTTATTGAGCATCTCCTAAGTGCTAAGCACTGGGCTAGACTTGAGGGATACCATACTTGAGGTTTACAGGCTAGTGGCAGGGACAGGTGCATAGGATGAGTCCTGGAGATGTAATTAATGCTGCTTTAGAGCTTTGATTAAAGAACCATGGAAACAAGGGAAACATTAACCAGGTCCCTATTATTTTAGAGCACTGTGCTAAGTCCTGGTGATACAGAAAGGGATACAATCATCTCCTTCCCTCAAAGGCCTGATGGTTTATTTTAATAAACAGGACCTGAAAGCAAAAAGACATGCTCATACCAGTGCATGCTAAATGTGAAATAAGTGGCCCCTGAGTGCTTACTGGACTCACAGTGGCAGCACAGTAAATATATAAGAGGTTTTGTAGTCAGGTGGACCTGGGTCCAAACAGTGGCTTTAGAAGCCAGTGCATGATATAAAAGAGGAAAGTGTGATGCACAGAAAGGACATTTTGATAGAGACATTAGTAACACAGTGGTGTCTTAGTTGGAAAAAAAAAGAGTGTGCAGAGACAATTAACTCTGGGATCTTTCCTCTTAGCTTCACAGTTAAAAAAATATATATACACACACACACACAGAGTAATGAGGTCTCTGTTAGGGACATATAGGGAGTGATGGTGTGGTCTGTGATTGTTAGGGAACAGCTTCTATTCAGCTGTGACAACCTGTCATCCTGAAATTTGATATCGGTTGCCAGATCTTCTTATTTGTCAAGAGAAGCAAAAAATCTGGAGTTTTATATGAAATAGTTAAACACAGCAACTAACAACAAATAATTTTTATAATTCCACGAGTCAAATAAAATCCATCTGTGGTGGGCACTTGACCAGCACGTTGCAAATTCCTGGAACAGACAGCTCTGAGGGGCTCCACGCTTGGTGGAAGTGGGCAGCACCTCTGTCTCTGCACCTCAGCACCCTCTGTCCCAGCTCGCAAGCTCACTCTGTGATATTCCCATAAATAAAGACAGAAAACCAAGAGATGCCTTACTTCTGCATTCCTGGCTCTCAGGGGTTGATCTTGACTGGAGCACATTCCTTTCCTCCCAACTTCTCCTCCGAGTCCTGGCATGGCTGGCACCAGCATCTGCTGATGAGGTGACAGCACTACCAGGACATCCAATCAGAAATTCAAGTAAGCCACACACTAAATTGAGGTGAGGCTCTTGCAAAAGAAACAGAACCTCCTCGGGTGTTTTCCTAGGTCAGATGGACAGACAACACCCAGGGGTGGAAAGGCTTCGGTCTTCTCCAGTGTTTGCTTTCTACTTGTTTGTGATATGAAACTGAGCAAGTAATTGACCTTCTTGAGTTTTGGTCTCCTGATTTAGAAAATCATAAATAATAGCTCCCTCTCAGCACTGTGCTGAAGATTAAATGAACGAATGTGTCCAGGAGGGCTTGCTTACAAGTAGGTCTGGATTCCAATCAATGAAGCAGACAAATGCCATGGTGCTTAGCTTCCTACTTCCTCTTTTAGATCTCCTCTGGGCTTTAAGGACCTACCCAAAGAATGGTCTATTCTACTTTCCACACACCTATTTATTTATCACAGAGCTGGGGATTTAATCCAGGGCCTCACACATGTCAGGCAAGCTTTCTACCTTGGAGCTACATCCCCAACTCCTATACACCTTTTAATAATGTAGGAAGTTTGTCAATAGGGTTTCAAGAATATTTACTGTAGTCTAACGGTGTGAATCTAGTTGTTTCTGACAAATGTTCTGATCCTGTCTCAGGTTGCTGCATTTGCTTTCAGCCAATCCTTTCAGCAAAGATGGTTGCTTATTCAGTGTTAATGTTAAGCTCTACACTGGCTTGAATGTTTATTGTACAAGAGAATAAACTGGGTTATCAAACTACCTCCACTCATTATTTTTTTAAAAATTTTTCTTAGTTATACATGGACACAATATCTTTATTTTGCTTATTTATTTTTATGTGGTGCTGAGGATCGAACCCAGTGCCTCACATATGCGAGGCAAGTGCTCTGCCACTGAGCCACAACCCCAGCCCCACTCATTATTTTTACAGCTCTTTTTTTTTTTCAAATGAGACTGTAAAAATATTGGGGCTTTCCAGTTATTTGCATGTACCCAGAAGGGTAAAAGTAACTGATATGGCTAAAAATACTATGAAAAGAATTAGGCTGTTTCATAAATTATGAAACAGAAGCATTGGTTTTCAAAGCTCCTGATCACATCAATCAGGATCCCAAGGGGAAGCATCTTCTCTAGATCTCCCCTGAGAGCAGGAAATCTCCAAATCCCAATGGTTCAGGGATATGGTTCTCCTTCTTCACATACTCCATGCTATTTAAGGGGCCACGGACACAATGATAAAAAAATGATATAATTCCTGCCCTCATACATTTTTTCTAACTCTTTTATTATACATTCATGAAGACAGACAGAGAAAGGTACTAGGTAGCTTTTTACAGATATGAAATAAGGAAAATTAGATGTTGCCATATGCCCACATCAGAGAACACATGTCCACCTGAGGCAAAGCTAGGATGCAGAAGTTTGCCATTGTAAGCCTTTTATGAATCTGTTTCTTCATTTATAAGAAAGGAAGGGTGGTGGGATTGGCAGTACACTTACTGCCCTGCCATTTGCATCACAGGGTGCTTGTA